GTTCTGAAAAGACAGATCTCTGGGCGCTTCCATCTCTGGGATTGTGACTCAGTAAGTAAGGGGTGAGGCACAATCATTTATATCTGTGTTTTTAAAGCTCCCCCAGTGTTCTGGATGCTTAGCCAGGCTTGGGACCCTCTCTCTGCTCTTTGGGTATCTTACAGGTAAGAAAGATGTCATTGTAAGCTTTTGTCCTGGAAACACATTCATTCCAAACATATGGAAAGAACTTACTAGGCCGTGTGTGGTGGCTTATGCCTGTAATCCCAGAGCTTTGGGAGGTCGAGGTGGGCGGATCTCTTGAGCCCAGGAATTTGAGACCAGCCTTGACCTCCTTGACTTCTGGGGAGTTGATGAGGGACCTGGACACTGTCACAGTGGTTTTGTGTACAGTTCTGAGTTCATTAATTATGTATCAGGGTTTGGAATAAGCTCATATAAATATTTCAGGTCCTAAAATAGCTGTGACAGTGTCACTGATCTGCCCCTGAGCTGAACATCCACTCCCCCCACTGCCATTTTAATCCTCCAGTCACATGAGGGAGGATGGGAGTCTGTGTGAACATCTTTCTCACTCGTGTTCAAAGATCATATCTGCCTGTCTCATCTGTCAAGAGTGTAGATTTTGTTGTAATGGTGGATTCAAAATAGACAAAACATGTGGTCATTGTACTTGGCAAACAGCTTTTCACGTCAGGATGCTTCCGCCCCCGGCTCAGGGCTGGTCCAACTGTGTGATGAATGTGGCTCAGTGCAGGTGCCCAGTCTGCCGCCCTCAGCCCCACGGCTGCAGTGTTAGAATAGCCGTGCCATGGGCACACAGTGCTGGTGACATGGGGAATGTGGAATAACAAATACTTAATCCACATGTGCTTATAGAAAAAACTTTATACAATAAAAACAGCCAATTGTTAGATTTACATCTTTTTCTGTCACTATATATAAAAGGAATCAAGAATTTTCATGCCGCTTCCAGGTATTCTTGAGACTGGTATATCGTTTCTTTTTGAAAAGTGCATTATTGCATAACAACACCTAGATAAATATATTTTTATATTTTTATGTATTTATAAGTATATTTTAGCTTAAAAATATCAATAGTATACATAGCTTATAGCACAGTTTGGGAATTATTGATATATATGGTAATAATGCATTGTTGGGGATGATTTAAAATTATATTAGGATATTAGGAGCCCAATATAGCAATCCAAATTGAGATCCTCTTGTCTAGTATCCTGTAAAATGGCAAAACATCAAATCTAGAAAACAGATAAGAAATGAATTTTAAGATAAAGATACAACAGATTTTCTATTTTTACAAAATCATTATTTATTTTCAAAAATATGTTTTAGAATTCAAGTTGTTAATTTAAAAAGTACTTATTTCATAATACAGTGAACAAAACTGGCTGTTAGAGAAAACACCTCATCTTGCTGTCCCCAAATCTTGCAGCTTTTCAAAGTTTCAGAATTTTGTAAAATATTTTGAATAGCCCAGACTTTCTGATAATGGGTATAGCCTTTCAAAGTAGTAGAATTGACAAGCTTTTAATTTAGCCAATCTTATTTTATAAAGTGTTGACTTTTCACTGTAGACTAATAGCAAACAGTTTGTAAAGAAATGTAAATTAAAAATGTAAATAAATAAATTAGGTTTATTAGTTTTCAAAAAATTTATTTAAAAGGAAGGGGCAATGTTGAATGGAGTAAGGAAGTATTTGAAAATGTATTTTGTGAAAGAAATCAATGCACGTGCGCACGCACACACACACACACACACACACAGCCCTCAAAAGCAGAAGTCCAACAATGCAGCTGTTGTTCCTTTGCAGCAATATTTATCTCACCTTGAGTGAGGACCATGCTGCTTAAAAGTGTAACTTTCAAATGTAAACTTAAACACCTTGTAAACACCTTGCCTATGTGTAAACTTAAACACCTTGCCTATGTCTGGTGATTAAAAACTAAGTTCTACTCAGCTCATGTAATGCCCCTGACCTCCAGCAGACAGAGATTCTAGGTTATTCCTTGTGGGCAAATATGTCCGTGGATCACTGGATCAGGGACTGTTGAATCAGATGTGTGTCCCTCTCTACATGTCATGGTTTGTAGAGATCAAAATTTTGCCTGAGAACTCCCTGGGCGATGTCATCTCCAGCTATGAGCTCCAGGGCAATGCTGTCTGGGATGAGGGTCTGGGGTGACCTGAGCTCCTGGAGAAAGCTGGGTGTACTTAAGCACTCTATGAAGACTGTATGTGGTGGCAACGCTGTTGGAGTACCCCATGGGTAGCCTAGAAAAGAAGTACCATGTCCCATTGCAGGTGAAGGTGAATTAGGGCAGAGAGGCTATTGAAGTAGGCACAGAACAGAACATGATAGCCGCATCTAAAACAGTAAAATCTTTACCAGTTGTTGATTGGATGGGGTCAGTAAGTTCTTTAATACTGGCTATTGGGTATAGGGGCCTTAATGAAAGGATTACAATCTTAAGGTTGTAGTAAACCACCGTGAAGCACCATTTATTTTTTTCCAGGCTTAAGCACAGGCAAGATTGAGCTGTCAATTGGAGAAGCAGTGGAGAGAACCACCCTTTTATTAATAAGGTTTTACATATTAAGTTTTAAACTTGAAGGTCCTATACATCTGAATTGTGTCTCTCCCAAAATTACATATTGAAGCCCTTACCCCCGGTACCTCAGAATGTGCCCGTATTTACAGATACAGCCTTTAAAGGGTGTGATTAAGTTAAAATGAGACCATTAAGGTGGGCCCTAATCCAACATGACAGGTGTCTTTATAAAAGAAGCAATTTGGAGACATAAAGAGACTTCAGTGCTGGGTGTGCCCATAGGAAAGGTCATCTCGGGTCAAGAGAGAGGCCTCAGAGAAACCAAATCCCCCACACCTCAGTCTTGGAATTCCAGCCTCCAGAACAGTGAGGAAATACATTCTGATTGTTAAAGTCACCCAGGCTCTGGCAGCCCTAGCAGACCAACACATCTGGCTATAACTTGCAGAGTCATATGAACTATTTTAACTGGGGATCTACAAGGTCCAATTTGTCTCACAGTCATAGTCATAGTCATATTATTTTAACTGGGGACCTCCAAGGTCCAAGCCAATTTATAAGTGCCAAAGACTTAATTGAATCATATTTATTATTCACTGTGTTAGAGCATATTTTAGGGCAATGAGTATTATGCCTATGCGAAATTTAGGCAAAGCTACAGTTAAAATAAAGCATACCTATTTTTCCTCTATAGTTATTTTGCCAGGATTACAGGCATTGCAGTGTTCATCCCAGGTATAACTGTAACTTGAGTCCCAGCATTGGCTAAGTTCATGAAGCTTTGTCAATTGGTGCATTTTAGCATTTGTTAATCTGGAGCCCGTGCTGTACAGGCACAAAAGACAATCAGGACCCTTTTTATCTCTTTGTTATATAAATCCTTATAGTAAATTTTGTGTTTCCAATTGGGTCAAGTTATGGACCTTTGTTTCATTACATATTTATGTTACTGGGAAGGGGTCCTGATCCAGACCCCAACAGAGAATTCTTGGATCTCGTGCAAGAAAGAATTTGAGGTGAATCCATGAAGTGAAAGCAAGTTTATTAGAGAAAGCAAAGGAATGAAAGAATGGCCACGCCATAGGCAGAGCAGTGGCATGGGGTGCTCAACTGCTTGTACTTATCGTTACTTTTTGATTATATACTAAACAAGGGGTGGATTATCCATGAGTCTTCCAGGAAAGGTGTGGGCAATTCCTGGAATTGAGGGTTTGTCCCCCTTTTAGACCATATAGGGTAACTTCCTGCCATTGCCATGGCATTCCTAAACTGTCATGATGCTGGTGGGAGTGTCTTTTAGCATGCTAATGCATCATAATTAGCATACAATGAGTAGTGAGGACAACCAGACATCACTTTCATCACCATCTTTGTTGTGGCTGGCTTCTTTGCCGCAACCTGTTTTATCAGCAAGGTCTTTGTGACCTGTATCTTGTGCCGACTTCCTATCTCATCCTGTGACGTAGAATGCCTACCTTCCTGGGAATGCAGCCCAGTAGGTCTCAGCCTCATTCAAGATTCTCCAGGCTTAAGGGTGGGGCCTAAATTACCCAGGACCTATTCGAGATGGAGTTGCTCTGGTTCAAACACCTCTGGTATTTATATTAAAATATATAGACTTTTATTTTGGTGTCTAGGCCTGCCCTCTCCCTCATTTCTGGGCTTCTGGCTGCCTAAAGCTGAGGTTTTGAGTTACTGTCTCTGGCTGACAACTCAAAGTGTGGACCTCCTAAGGGATTACAGGAGGCAGGGTGTGGGGTGGGAGTAACAGGCGGCCCAGCCTTTTCCCAGGATCTCCAATCCCCTCCCAGGGAGCCCTGGCAAATTGAGCTCATGTTGTCCATGGCTTATGAGTGAGACCAGATCCAGGACTCGCTGATGGGCCACCTAACTGGACCTGGGCTGTATGCAAACATCCCAACCTGGAGGGCTCCAGCACCACAGTGAAGCCCTTGCCTTTGGCTGATCCCACCACCATCTGCAATCCTTCCCTTTTCTGCATGACACAGCCTAGGGTCTCTGCTAATCCAAAGCACAGGTTTCAGCCATTGCCACCTTTAATTCCTCCTGGAAGAGAAGCAGCCCAGAAAATCAGCAACCTGGGGAGGACCAGGGGCAGGGCAGAGGCCACAAGGACAGCCAAGGTGCCTGCCAGTTCCTACCTAACATGAAGATGAAAACCACCAATTCCAGAACAGCCCCCAGTGTGGCCCTGTGGCTCCCCTATGGCATCAGCAGCAGTGTGGGCACCATAAGAAGCCAGTGGCCACCAGGGCACGTCCCCCAAGGACGTCCCTTGAGTTTTTAGTATTTGTTAAAGTTAACCTCATTTGTGGTGCTTTGCTTCAGAAGGATTATTTCTGGTACATGATGAGGTGCGAATTTCTGATGAAAGCTTCCCCACTTTCTAGGCGTTCATGGGGTTTTTAGTGAGGATGAATTTTCTAGTGTCTAATGTTGTGTGACTTCTTGCTGAAAGCTTTCCCACAGCCGCTCCACTGATAAGGCTTCTTACCTGTGTGTATTCTCAAATGCACAGCAAGGGTTGAGAACTGAGAGAAAGCTTTCCCACATTCATTACAACCATAGGGCTTCTCACCTGTATGGCTTCTCACACGCACTGTGAGAGATGAGCTCTGAGAGCTCTGAGCTCTGAGAGAAGCCTTTTCCACAGGCATTGTATTTGTGAGGTTTATCACCTGGATGAATTCTCACATGTAGAATAAGTGATGTTTGCTGAGAGAAGGCTTTTCCACATTCGTTACATTCATAGCGTTTCTCTCCACTGTGAAGGTTCTGATGTTGTATGAGGTACTTCTTCTAAACAAAGGTTGTTCCACATTCACTACGTTTAAAAGTCTTCTCTCCAATTTGCATTTTGTCATGCTCAGTAAGGTTGGATTTACCACTAAGGTTTTTCCACACTCCTTACATACAAAGGGCTTCTCTCCTGTGTGAGTTCTCTGGTGTCTGATGAGGTTTGTCTTCTGAATGAAAGCTTTCCTGCAATCTTTACATTCAAAAGATTTTTCTCCAGTGTGAATTTTCTGGTGCATAAGGAGGTTTTCCTTCTGGCTAAAGGATTTTCCACATTCAATACATTCAAAAAGCTTCTCACCGGCATGGGAGTTCTGATGTTTAATGACATACTCCTTTTGGCTAAAGGCTTTTCCACACTTGTTACATTCAAAAGGTTTCTCTCTCATGTAAAAATGCTCATGCTCAGTGAAGTTTGATTTGCGGCTGAAGACTTTCAAATAGCATAGCTTACAGGCAAAGGGGTTTTCCCCACTGTAAATTCTCTGCCAGCTGAGGTGTGACATCTGAATGGAAACTTTCCCATATTCACAAGGTTTCTCTCCAGTACAAATTTCTTGATGAATGAGGATGGACTTTTGACTTAAGATATTTCCACATCTCTTACATTTATGAGGCTTCTCTGTGTGTGACCTCCTAAATGCAGAGTAAGGGATACGGTTTGAGAGGAAATGTTATCACACACAGTACATTCAATGCTTTCTCTCCAGAAAAATTTTCTGTTATTCAATAAAGTATTGCTACCTTCACTGGTTTCTCTCCAGCATGAATTTGCTGCTTCTCAGTGAGGGTTGTCATCTAGCTAAGGGCTTGTCAACACTCCTTAGTCGCACAGGGTTTCTCTTCAGCATGACTTCTATGTTCAATGCAATGTGGACATCTGAGTAAAAGTTCCCCCACATTCAGTAAATTCATAGGGTTTCTCTCCAGTGTGAACACTCTGGTATCAGATGAGGTACAAATGTTTAAACCAAAGGTATTTACATTTAAAGGGGGTTAATACCATAAGGAGTAAGCTGTGGTAGAGAAGCTCCCAACTAACTCCCTTGATGATTCTTTCCTACACAAGCTCCCTCATGATTTCAGTCCAGGTTGTGATTCAAACTCAAAACTTCAGAAAGATGTGGCCTTAAAAGAAATAAGGTCTGAGAACAGAGGAAGTATTTTTTCTTATATTCAAAGCTCTTTTCCTCAGTCTTTACTGGAGATGGATCAACATGTCTCCCAAGTCCTTGTGCCTGTCTATCTATCTCTTCATCATCTTCTCAGGCTTCTTCTAAAATGGAGCATAAAGAACCATAGCACAAAGAAGTTAATTCGTAAAGTGCCCAGAGCCATGGCTGGCACATGGTAAGCCCTTCATCTTGCCTTTGTACTGCCATCACTTTTATTTGTGAAATTTCCCATTACAAGCAATAAAACGTCAGACTGTGCTTTTTTGAGATTAACTCTGGTAGCCTATATCCCAATATGAAAAGCATCTATATTATTAATGCTTCCAACTAAATCATGAGAAGGGAACCCTACTTGAGGTGATCTAGGTAGAAAATTAACATAAATGGGTCCACAAAGCTGAGAGTACTCTTGAAAAATAACCTTTCTATTTCAGAATTTAGCAAGTTGCATAACAAATAATGAAGAATTGTTAAATAGAAGAAAAAGATGACTACATAAATATTAGAAAGTCCACCTGGGATGTCTAAGAAGAAAAATACTGCTCAAATTTCTATTTATTTATTTACTTATTTATTTATGAGACAGAATTTTGCTCATTACCCATGCTGAAGTACAGTGGTGCGATCTCGGCTCACTGCAACCTCCGCCTCCTGTGTTCAAGCCATTCTCCTGCCTCAGCCTCCCGTGTAACTGGGATTACAGGCATGCACCACCACACCTGGTTAAATAATGCTCATATTTAAAAGAAAGAGAATAGATCAACCAACAACATGGGCTTCCTCCCAAAACCCCATGAAAATGATAAGAAAGGGGAAAGTTGTACAAACTCACAAGAAAAAAAATATAGAAGAGACACTGGTACACAACAACAGATATTAACAGATTTTTCAATAATGGAAAGGATATGGAAGATTTCAGTGCACAGCAGAGTTGTCTGAGGAAACTCAAATAATGGAAATGTACTGCAGAAGAGAACGCCAGTGATTTGTACCACAAAATATCAGAAAGACTCAGAAAATGAAGGGAATTAGGTTTTTCAAAAGGAATAAAGGATGGTGATTGAAAAAAAGTGTAAGGAGCAGTTGAACATGCAATGTCCTCTCATGAGAAAAAAGGAGAGGTCACATCTTTATAAGAAATAGAAGTTTATCCTTGCAGAAATTTAATCAGAGCTCAGGGGCATTCAGGAAATGAGATGACAGGAATTAGCTTCTATATGGAAATCAGAGATTAAACCTACATATATGGTAAGGCCTGCAGCACCATTCTGCAGATGAAGACAAAAGATGCTGGCAATGAGGTATATACACCTACGGACAGGATACAAGAGGATCCTTCTCTGGAGAAACTGAAAAGCCCACAATGAACCTCATTAGCAGCCTGGCCAACATGGAGAAAACCCATCTCTACTAAAAATACAAAAAATTAGCCCGGAGTGGTGGTGTGCACGTGTAGTGCCAGCTGCTTGGGAGGCTGAGACATGAGAATTGCTTGAACCTGGGAGGCAGAGCTTGCAGTGAGCTGAGATCGCATCACTGCACTCCACCTCCAGCCTGGGTGACACAGCAAGACTTACAAAAACAAAAGAAAACAAACAAACAAAACCTCATTAATATGCCCCTCCAAGATGATAAGTGCCACTTTTATTCATATTTCATTGGCTAAAACAAAGGACTTGGGCGTGGCTGAGTTCATTGGAGTCAGACAGTATAACCCTTCTACAAGACAGAAACCAATTTTTTTTTTGTTCTTTGAATATTTCCTCCAATGAGTTTTCTTTTCTTTTTTTTCTTTCTTTTTTTTTTTTTTTTTTGTTGTTGTTGTTTTGTTTTTGGAACTTCTTTTACTCAGCTTTTTGTTTCCTTGGTGTATCCTCTGAATTTGTCATTGAAACTTCTACCATGAAATGACACTTTTTATTTGTGATCCTATTTTATTGGCCTAGCAAGCACCTAGCCATGACTGAGTTTGCTGGGGTGAGGCAAAATGGTTCACTAAGCATTTCACTTTTCAGTCACTGAAGCCTACCAGATATGAGCATCCAGGCACAAAAGAGCTTATGATCACCTTTTAGTGAGCTGTTAACAAATATTCCACTAATTCCACTAACATGAAAGACATCAAAATCAAGAGAAAAAACTATAAGGAAATAAAGGCAAGGCCCAGCAAACAACACTAAAACCAATCAGGAATAGGTAGAAGATATTTTGTCAGTTAAACAATAACAGGATTTTGTAAGCAAGAAATGGAAAGGAAAGCTCCCTTAGAAATTAAGACTGTGAGAGAGGGACAAAAAAAAAAAAAAAAGATAAAGTGGAGCGTATCCACATTCATCAATAAGAAGGCACCTTGTTCCAGAAGGCATAGCCTGCCTCACCCTAGCAAACTCAGGCATGGCTAGGTGCTCATTTGGCCAATAAAATAGGATCACAAATGAAAAGTATCATTTCATGGTAGAAGTTTCAATGACAAATTCAGAGGATACACCAAGGAAACAAAAAGCTGAGTAAAAGAAGTTCCAAAAAAAAAAAAACCTAAACAAAAACAAAAAACCAAAGAAAAGAAAACTCATTGGAGGAAATATTCAAAGAAGAAAAAAATGCCTCTACTGTAAGTCAAAGGGCCCACTTGAGTAAGAATAAGACCCATACCTAGACACATTACCGTACATTTTAAAACAGAAAATACGGAGGTTATAAATGTTCTCAGAAAGAAAGAACAAGGCTGGACATGGTGGCTCACACCTGTAATCCCAACACTTTTGGAGGCCAAGGTGGGAGAATCTCTTGAGCCCAGGAATTTAAGACCAGGCTTGACAACATAGTGAGACCCCACCTCTACAGAAAAAAAAAGTAGACTTTCTGAGACCAAACAGTCTAAGAACAGCTGCTCAAAATATTCATTCAGCAAATACTTGTCTCCTTACCATGTGCATAGCACAGTTCTAGGCTCTAGGGATAAACAGTATTGAACAACATTGGTATCTTCTGCTCTCATCAAGTTTACATTCTAGTGGAAATAAGAATAGAGATGGTTTGTTAAAAAGCAATCCAGGTATAGTGGCTCCCGCTTCTAATCCCAACACTTTGGGAAGATGAAGCAGACAGATCACTTGAGGTCAGGAGTTCGAGACCAGCCAGGCCAACGTGGTGAAACCCTGTCTCCACTAAAAATAAAAAATTAGCCATGGCAAGGTGCGGTGGCTCGTGCCTGTAATCCCAATGCTTTGGGAGGCTAAGGTGGGCGGATCACCTGAGGTAAGGAGTTCAAGACCAGCCTGGCCAACATGGTGAACCCCATCTCTACTAAAAATACAAAAAAAAAAAAAAAAAATTAGCTGGTCTTTGTGGCAGGTGCCTGTAATCCCAGCTACTTGGGAGGCTAAGGCGGGAGAATCACTTGAACCCTGGAGGGGGAGGTTGCAGTGAGCTGAGATCACACCAGTGCACTCCAGCCTGGGTGACAGAGTGAGACTCCATCTCAAAAAAAAAAAAAAAAAAAAAAAAAAAAAAAAAAAAGTTTTAAGTGCTATGGAAAAAAAATTTGGGAAGTGTAAATAGTTTCAATTTCAGATAGGATGATCTCTGACAAGGCAAGAATCATGTCAAGACATGAAGAAAATTAAGATAATGATCCTTACAGGTATATGGGGAGAGAACTTTCTTTCTTTTGTCTTCTTTCTTTCCTTCCTTCCTTCCTTCCTTCCTTCCTTCCTTCGTTCCTTTTTTTCTTTTTTTGGACAGAATTTTGCTCTTGTTGCCCAGGCTGTAGTGCAACAGCGCCATCTTGGCTCATCGCAACCTCCACCTCCCGGGTTCAAGTGATTCTCCTGCCTCAGCTACTCTCTCAAGTAACTGGGATTACAGGCACACACCACCGGGTTCAAGCGATTCTCCTGTCTCAGCTACTCTCCTGAGTTGTTGGGATTACAGGCGTATGCCACCACGCCCAGGTACTTTTGTATTTTTAGTAGAGATGGGGTTTCACCATGTTGGTCAGGCTGGCCTCGAGCTCCTGACCTCAGGTATCCACCCGCCTTGGCCTCCCAAAGTGCTGGGATTACAGGCGTGAGCCACCACACGTGGCCTGGAGGAAAAACTTTCTAAGTAGAAATTAAACAAGTTCACAGGCCCAGAAGAAGATCCTGCTGAGCCTCAGTGACACTGATACTTATCAAATACGATGTCCTTCATGTCCTTCTTTGGCTTAGCCTGACCCCCTCCTATGTTTTTTTTTTTTTTTTTAATTTACTTTTTAAGAGACAGGATCTCACTGTTGCCCAGGTTGGAGCACAGTGGCACAGTCATAGCTCAGTATAGCATTGAATTCCTGGGCTCAAAGTGAT